AGTACTGCCATGGGAGATGGTGGAATTTGAATTCAATAAAAATTTGGAATTTACAGTCCAACAATGCTCATGAAACCATTGTTGGATGTCAGAAAAGTCCATCTGGTTCATTAGGGAAGGAAACTGCTTTTCTTATCTGGTCTGACCTACATGTGACTTCAGACCAACAGTGATGTGGTTGACTCTTAACTGCTGTCAAAGCAATTAGGGGTGGGTAATAAATGCTGACTTTGACAGCACCGCCCACATCTCACAAATTATGTTTTACAAAAGTTCAGTCTATTTCTAATGCCAGTTGAAATCCACAAGGGTAAAACGGTGGTGTTTGTTGTGAGAGCCACTTTGTACAGTTCTTTGTCCATTGACCAATCATATAATGTATAATTGCACAGTCATGGCAATAAGACATGTTTGTTGCTGACAAGGGCATCTTTTTCCATGGAGAAAGCCACTTAATAACATTCCACTGTCACCACCCTTCCCACATCCACCCACACCTCCAGTCCCGTTTAACCCACACAATCATACTTCTGATGTGGGAATTAAAAATTGGAACTCATAGTCACGGTAAGGTTAAAGTCTTTTAGATAGGTTTAGCAACATTTCTTGACTTTTGTATGACCCTGTTCATAAATTCCAACGAGAATTCAGGATTCACTAAGATATATCTTACAGCCATGGGCCATGGCTTTGCCAGATAATTGTGCTACTTGATAAATCAAACTCTTCTTTGACCCTGGCTGTATGCAATATCCAGGCAGTAACATCCAAAACCCACACAAGCACGACAAACAACTGGAGAGGTGGACTGCTCATCCAGAGACCCAATTAATGTTATTTTCTAGGGACCTGGTTCAAATCCCACCATGGCAGATAGTGGAATTTGATTTGTGGATAGTGGAATTGAGAGACTAATGATGATTATTAAACGATTGTCAAGAAAACCCATCTGATTAACTAATTTCCTTCAGTAAATTAGCAGTAACCAATTCACCCACAGTAATGTAACATTTCTGTACACTCAAGTTAATACTGAGATTATACTTTGCATTGTGTGATAAATATTTTCTCATTTTCAGTTTAAATTAACCACACTTACAGAACCCATCACGAAGCACGTTACAAGGGATCCATGTAACACAGACACTGGAAGTCTGAAAGATAAACAGGAAATACTGGAAATATCCAAAGGCCGAGCAGCATTTGTGAAGAGTGAAACAAAGTTTCATGTTCATAATTTTAATTAAATAATCATAGAATCCCTACAGAGAAGATAGAGACTATTTGGTCTGTCAAGTCTGCACTGACCCTCCAAAGAGTATCCCTCAACAGACCAGCTCCTCATCCTGTTCCCATGACCCTGCATTTCCCATGCCTAATCGACCTAGCCTGCACATCCCTGGACATTATTGGCAATTTACTATAGCCAATCCACCTAACCTGCACATCTTTGGACTGTGGGAGGAAACCGGAGCACCCAGAGGAAACCCATGCAGACATGGGTAGAACATGCAAACTCCACACAGCACCCAAGGCTGGAATCTATCCTGGATCTGTGGTGTTGTGAGGCAGCAATACTAACTTGTGCTAATATTGGTTACAATTTACAGTGAATTGGCCTCTCTTTCCCTCTGCACAGAGGTCACCAGATGTGCTAAGCATTTCCAACGTTTGCTCTTTTGCCCCCAAAAAGGAATGTAGTCTTCTTGTGAGCTTCTCATTCTGCTTCAGCAAGAAACCCATCAGCAACTGCCAGAGATCTCACCTGGCACAAATTTAGGTATGAATTTCCTGGAAAATAATTGAAGTATGAAATAAACGAATAAGTTTGCTGAGCAAGAAAAAGATGAATTACTGAGTGTTACTATTTCTGAGGAAGTATTCGAGGTAGATGTAAAGGTTGCACCATGTCCTTATTCTCCACTGTGCCTAACATTCCAGTTGCCCACATCTCATTGTATTTGCAAATACTACTCCTGTCTCTTTGGCCAACTCTGCTACCTTGATGTGAGGGTGACTACCATAGAGCTGAACAGTGAAGTGAGATTGTGACTAAGGGTGGACTACATCACCCAGGATTCACTCTGGCTTTCAAAATACACGGTCATATAGACTCAAGCTCTCACTCCAGGGCAGTCATATCTCAGGCACAGGAACATAATGACTACCCTCTCGTTATGGAGAAGTACTTGACCTAAGGGATGGTTCATTGAGAGAGATATGATGCTGCTCGTAAATGCAAAGGCAAAATTGTGAGCCCAGGTTTCCTGAAGATCTTTGTGTATGTCCTCTCCTGGGTCTAGCCAGTGAATCACCTCTTCAAACGCTCACACACATGTGGTATGTAAATACACAGTGCTTTTGGGAGGGAGTTCCAGCGCTTTATTTGATATTCAGAATGGTGTATAATTAATAAGGAGGCTTGAAGGTGATAGTGTTCCCGTGTGCTTACTGACCTTGTTCATGAAGGTGGTTGAGATTGGAAGTTTAAAAGACGTTGCCGTTAGATTTTTGGTGAGTTGCTGAGTGGAATCTTGTAGATATTACATACTGCTGCTTCAACCTGGTATTGGAAGGAATGCAGACTTAAGCCGTTGATGAATTGCCAATCAAGTGGGTCGCTATTTTGTCAAGATCCTCAAGTGTGGTTGGAGCTGCATCCCTCTAGTCGTGTAGAGGGTACTTCACCACACTCATGATTTCTGTCTTATAGGTGATGAACAGGCTTGGAACATAAGGGAATGAATTAAATTCTGCATAATTCCTAATCTTTGACTTGTTCATATATTTAATTATTCATATAGCTAGCCTATTTCAGTTTCTGGCCATTAGTAATCCTTTGGGAGATTCAGTAATAATAATATAATTGTATATCGAAACATAGGTAGTCATGTTGTCTCTTGTTGGAGATGGGCATTGCTGGGCACCAATGAGTGTGTTGCTTCCACTTAACAACTAAAAGCCGAAGCGTGAATGTTGTGCAAGTCTTGCTACCTGCTGAAGTAGACTGCTTCATTACTTGAAGAGTTTCGAATGCTGAGAGTTGTACTGTTAGTGACAGTTTCTCTGAAAGAATTCAAAGTGCAAAGGGTTTAATTGAACCTTTGTTGCTTAAAATTAACTTTCCACCTCCTGCTACTCTGAGTAATTGGCCATTACTCCCACTCTCTGTTTTCTACCGTGAAGCCACTAGCAATCCATTTTGCCACTTATGCCTGGCTCCATCCTCTCTAAACTTCTTCATTAGTGTGTTGTGCGGCACCTAAACAAAAGCTTTTTTTGAATGAAACTTCAGCTAAATACATCACTTTTCTGCTTAAGTATCACATCATATTTATCCAACGTGTCTATTTTCAAAACAATATCTGGGGGTGGGGGCAAACTGTTTCTGCGATGGAAAAAGCCAAAACCATGAAAACACCAAGAAGAGTCTATCTGAGTAAAAACACCATTTGAACTATTGAGCGAGGTTATTCAATGCAGGTGTTCAAAGGACCACGAAGCAACTTCAAGGAACAGGCCAAATTTTACTTGTTAATTCTCAATTGGAATGGTTTCCTTGGCAAGAACAAACTACTGTGGAAAATATTGAAATAAAAGCAAAAAAGTATTGGAAATACTGAGCAGGTCTGCAACATCTGTGGATATATCTGTTTCTCTGTCCTTGAAACATTAAGAATCAGCAAATTTCCTTAAACTTAGAGCAGAAGGGAATAAGCAACTCAGAAAAGTAAAAGTTTAAACCGCTTTCAATAAAGGAATTAGGTTGCAGTTGATCAATTGACCCCCTGCTCTTTTTATCATTGCAGTTTAAATCAAATTCATTCATTATCACAGAATTCTTCACACCGCACCAAGTGGAGCCATTTCCTGTTACTTCTATGAATCAATAATAACTTTCCAAGCTAAATATAGATCTTCTTTTGAAACCACGCGATTTGTATGTTGAGACATGGTTTTCACATAGCCACTAGCAAGCTCAGTATAAAGCATAATCTATTCCTTGTGCTGGAGGTGAAACCACATTACTCAGTAGTTTACTGATATGCTGTAGCCAGATTTTTGACCTGTTTGCTGTTGTGCCAAATTCGACTTTTGAAATTTACAAGTTTTCTCGATCTGCCAGTTGGCCTTTTGCCATCTTGTGGATAATCTGAAGGCTTCCTGCTACTCAGCCAATCCAGTGCATAAGATGCAAATACCAGACTTAAAAGCTGATGATCTTCTTTGAACATTCAATGACAAGAATTTACAACTGAGTTGTGCTGTCAGGATCAGCACATAATCAATTACCTGCTCATTGAATGGACGACTGACATACTGATTGGACTTTAATAGAATGGATCAGAGATGTCTAATTTGGAAAGGCTGCCAATGTTGTGATAGGTAAAAATTAGGACACTGTTGTTGTTCTGCCACCGAATGTTACTTGCACATCAAGACATCTAGATAAATGAACAAGATGTCACCACTGCATCAATACGTTTTCTCTACTTTAACTATATTAGATTCTTGGAAACTGACCATGGAAATGTGACTGGAGTTCCAGTTTCAGAACCTGAGGTATAATTTTGAGAATGATGATAGTACACAGCTCACAAGATTTTTGTTTGATGTAAGCCTTTGATTTTTTTTTTAAACTGGAATTCTCCATTGGCATGAAAAATTCTCCAACCTTTTTCATATTGACCATAGCTATAATTATTCTTGCAAACACTTTTTATAGCATGGTGCTTTCCTGTTTCTTTATCCCTCTCTTAATTGTTCGCAAGAATGCTGTGACTTTTTTTATTTGCTTTCGCTCATTTTAACATCTTTGTTTAATCCTCATTTGCTTAGTCTTTTCACGTTGTACATCACTTTCTTTTCAAAACTATTTTGTTGACTTGCTTTATGTCAAGATCTGTTTGGTATCATTCATTGTGAAGATCAAATAATAAGAAGACACCGCAGCAACAAAGCCGTAACTGAGTAACAATCAAATGAATCTTCTTTTTCAGGCGACCCTGCAGCAGAGGAATGGTCCCCATGGACTGTCTGTTCTTCGACTTGTGGGCAGGGTACACAGACCCGGATGAGATCCTGTGTATCATCTCCATATGGCACCTCGTGTAGTGGACCTCTGCGAGAAATGAGACTATGCAACAATTCAGCAGTGTGTCCAGGTTTGCTTGAACTAATGGAAACACTTGTTGTTGCTGTGCATTACCTTCACTTATTTATCCCAGCTCTCTGACCTTCCTAATTTCAGTCTATGCTTGTGATTTTTCAAGGTATTTGACCTTGACAGTGCTGGGAAATGGCGAGTGATGGCATCAAAACTCCAAAGTCATGAATGACATTGGTCTGATGCAATGCCGATGTCCTTTACCATTGACCTGACAATATGCACTAAACTCAAACTCATTACCGAAGGTACCAATATGACATTTCTATTCCCTGGACCTTTAGATCTTCTAAACAAGAGAAGAAAGATTCTTGATTTATGTTCATTTATTTACAAGTGTGTTGTAGACTTCTTCTGTCAATGCAGGGTTAAAACATGACAAACACACTTTGCTTAGGACTCGTAGTAGATGTGAGGAAAAGGATACCTTCGTCTTCTCTTTCTGACTTTAATCTTGATTCCAGAAGTATGTTGCTGTGATGAATTCCCTGCCTTCAATTTATTCAGCATAGTCATGCTTTCCTTGTGTAATGTTTAATTTTCTCTAATGTGAAATCACTTAACATTTGGATATAACTTCTTTACTTCTCTCTGTACTTACCTGGAATAGTAATTGCTTTTTAAGTAAACCTAGATTACGTGTTAGAAATAATCACAAGCAAAATAATTCTAATCGCTTTGGCAAAAAAAAATGCTATAGTCTTCACATAGGAAAAAAAAGCACGGATTTTCCTTAACCTTAGGTAACGCTATAGATTGAACTGTCAAGAATAAACCTGATTTCTGCCTTGTTTAGGCAGTGAGGGAGATTTACACAGGTCTTATTAGGCACGTTGTACTGCCTTCAAAAGTTTCAAGAAGTCTGGCCTGCCTGTAACATAAAAACCATTCACCGAATGTGCTTTTATAGATCTTCTGAAGTGATAGTTTGTGTTTCTTTTTTACCGTGTGACACATTTTAAAATATTCTACATGTTAATATTGAAGTACAAAAAACAATACTTTTTTGTGAGTTCCTTTGACACTGCCATCACGTTTGGTTTTGTGATACCAACCACTTGTAGCTTGTGTTTGTGGTAGTTCACTGCCAGTAGTTAAGTCTGAGTGAGTAGAGCCTCTTGCCTTCAACAAGATGTAGATTATTGCATGACAGCAAAGTTATATTGTTGAGATAATCTTGTTACCAAGACTGTGAGGAAACCTGTGAATTAAGTCTGTGCACAAGATCCAAAAATGTTCTTCCTTATCCCTACTCGAAACTGCATGACATCATCAGATTGGATAGAGCTTAATGCAGCTTCCAAACTAATCTTTTCAAAACCATTACCATATGCAACCAGTACATGCCATGGCTTTTTACATTACTTTTAGAGTTTGGCTTATACACCAACAAGTAGATTTTGATTATTTAATTTCTATCAATTGTTTTACATCTCTCTCGCCATTTTATTTTAATTGATGTTGCTGGGAACTGTAAAAAGAGATAACAAGGTGCAGAACTTGATGAACACAGCAGGCCAAGCAGCATCAGAGGAGCAGGAAAGCTGACGTTTCAGGCCTAGACACTTCCTCAAAAAATCGAATTTTCTGAAGAAGGGTCTAGGCCCAAAACGTCAGCTTTCCTGATCCTCTGATGCTGCTTGGCCTGCTGTGTTCATCAAGTTCTGCACCTTGTTATCTCAGATTCTCCAGCATCTGCAGTTCCTACTATCTCTGTAAAAAGAGCTGTCAGTTTGTTATGACCTGCTTTCCAGTAATGCAGAGTCAAAATGCACCCCAATAGCCCATGTGTGATGGCATACTTTATTGCAAAAACCTAGTTGTGTTTCCCTCTCACACCCCGATATAGCTGTTCATAGTAATATACAGCTTTTAAGCACTAAATGTTGATGGATTCCTTGCATTGATATTTTTTATGTAACAGGAGTTTGACATTGATTTTTAACCTAAAGGAATGGCATACGTGTAGCTTTTACTACCTCTCTGTAGTGTGGTCTCATAATACTCTCAGAAGTTGTTGTGTATTCAGAATCATTTGCCACCTTTTAAAAAGGAAATAGGACACAGGACGAGATTATTCAGTCCTCCAAGCTAGACCCTCACTTATATCATGGCTGATCTGATTACAGCCGAATTTCACTTTCCTACTTGTTTCCCATTACTCTTAATTCCCTTTCCAATCAAAATTCTTTCTAACTCAGCCTCGAATACATTCAGTGAAATAGGCACCCCAGAAGAGAATTCTAAAGGCTAAAGACCATCTGAGAAAATAAATTTCTCTTCATCTCAGTCTTAAGTAAAAGAACTGTGCCCTCTAGCTTTAGATTCCCCATGAGGGGAAACAATCTATCACTGTCTACAGTGTCAGGTACACCAAAATCTGGTATGTTTCAATAAGTTCGTGTTTCAGTCTTCTTACTCCAATGCGCATTGACTCCACTTCCTCAAACGTTTTTCATCATTCCTCAGGTGGAAAAATATATGTTAAGTAGTCGGGGAAGGAATTTTGTTAAGGATCAGGTGGAGAATCATGGACAAAGAGAGCACATAAAGTAGCACAGAGTTTGGAGTTAGTGAGAGAAAGAGAGTTTCCATAAAACAATGTGTAATTCAAAGAAGTGCAAGACGTTGTGAAACATCATGGATTTTGCAGAGAGAGAGCAAATGGGAGTGCTAATACAATTATATGAATTTCAGTATTCAGAGAAAGGGGGAGAGAGAGAGCCCACAAAGCATACGAAAATATGAACAATCAAATTAGGAGAAGAAGTAAGACATTTGTCCCTTCTAGTCTGCTCCATCATTCAATAAGATCATGGCTGATCTGTCAGTGTTCTGAATTCCACATTGCTGTCTACCCACAACAACATGGCTAAAGCAGCGTGGAATTTGGAAATAGTGGAGAGAGAGAATTTCCAAATAGCAGCATCAAGAGTGGACAACAGAGAAAAAAAGAGACAACAAAGGAGCCCATGGATCAGTGTGGAGAGAAGAGTGGTAAAGAGAGGATCTCAGTGTGTGGACTGGAAGAAACCAATGTTCGGCATCACGTGGAAGCATGTAAGTGATTGATTGATGAGTATTTTCTCATTTATCTTTCAAAATATAGGTTAACTATCAGTGAGTGAAAGGTTCTTTAAGTAGCACTTAGGGCTGCAAACAATAGTAGAGCTTATGAGGAATAGGAGTAAAGAAAAGTGGATGAATTAGCACCTAACAAAATAGCAGGGTGGTTGACATGTTGAAGCTGCAGTATTTGAGAGCTGACTGAAGGCATTTGCAGTAGGTGTTTGTAGCTTGAGGAACCTTAGCTCAATATTATTGACCTGGACACAAGGTACAGTTACAACGATGAATCACGGAGAGGGTATGTTTTCTGGAAACTTAATTCCAGAAGGCACTCATACCATCTAAGTTAAAACCTTTGCATTTTGTCTATGCTTATGGACAGAAGGATCTGACTCAGGTAAAACGGGTAAGGGAATTAGAACGTAGAAATGATGTTACTTTATCGCTTATCAGGCTAAGCCTGGATATATCCAAATATTTCTGTGTATGGGCACGGGCTGCTTTAGTACCTGAGGACTAACAAATAATGCTGAAAATTGTGCAATCATCTGCAAACCTCAGCATCTCTGACCTTCTGTTGAAGGTAAACTTATTGATGAAGCAGTTTAAAATCACTGGGCTAACAAGATCACCTTGAGGAACTCCAGAGATGTCCTGGAGCTGAGACTATTGACCTCTAACAATTACAATCATCTTCCTTTATGCTAGGTATGACTCCAACTGCTGTAAGTTTTCTCCCTGGTTCCCATTAACTCTACCTTTGCTACAGCCCTTGATGTCATACTTTGTTGAATGCTGCCTTAATATTAATATTATTACTCTCACTTCACCTCTGAAGTTCAACTTTTTGTCCATGTTTGGACAAAGGTGGCAATGAGGTCAGGAATCAAGTAGCTTGGAAAAACCCAAAGTGAATGGTAGTCAGCAGGTTACTTGCAAGTGCTAATTAATAGCACTGTTGATAATCTGTTTCCAACACTTTGCTAATGATTGATTGCAGACGAACGTAGCATTAATTGGTGAGATTAAATTCAGTCTGTTTTTAATACACAGGACACACCTCAACAATTTTCCAAATATTTTGGTAGATGCCTGAGTTGTTGCTGCACTAGAACAGCTTGGCTAAAGGTGCGGCTAGTTCTGGAGCACATGTCATCAATAGTATCCTCTAACTGTTGTTACAGTCCACAACCTTTGATGTGTTCAGTGCTTTCAGCCATTTCTTGATATTACTTGGTGTGAATTGAATTGCTTGAGGACTGACATTTGTGAAGCTGGGAATCTCAGGAGAAAGCCAAGATGGATCATTCACTCGGCACATCTGAATAAATTGGACCAAATGCTTCAGCTATGCCTTTTGTGCTGATGTCCTGGTCTCCCTCAACATTGAGGATGGGATGTTCGTGAAGCATCCACTTTTTGATTGGAAGTGGCAGGGCTACAGAGCTTAGATCTCATCCATTGTTTGTGTGGCTGTTTAACCCTGTCTATTATATGCTCCTTCCACTTTTTAGTACACAATAAAGTATTGGACTGTAGTTTCACCAGTTTGATATGCATGTTCTCCTGCCCTCTTCATTAAACAAGGGTTGATCCATTGACTTAATAGTAATGGTAGAATGGGGGACAGTTTTGAGGGTGGTGACTGTCCAGAATTCTTTATTGCATGGTGCTGTCGAGGCTGGGTTGTTAGGGATATTCAAGGCTGAAATAGACAGATTTCTAATCATTAAGGGAATCAAAGGTTGTTGAGTTCAGGCAAGGAAGTGAAGTTGAGGATTATCAGATTAGATATTGAGATTAATGAGATAATGAATTGAAGTTAGATTTACTGCCAGGTGTGAAGTTATTGTCAAGGTAGTACACACCCTGGACAATAAACCTGGATTTATAAAAATTTTCCATTATTGTGGTTTCCTTACGTATTGGTGAAAGAACTACAAGTTTACAGTATTTTCACACTTATCAATTATTGAAACAGTTCATTAACTGCTCAAGAGATGAATATCTGACTATCAGTGTGAATAGCTCTGATTGGTCACGGCTTTACAAGAAAATTGGTGAGTGTGTAAGCTATGAGTCTGTGGAAGAAACAAAGGTGCAATCCAAGTAGATGGTCAGATGAAGCTTGTCAATGATGTGCAGTGCAGTTGACGTTAATTGCCATCTGAAGTGGCCTAGCAAGCTAGTATCAGTTGTTCAGGAGGTGGGTGCACCATTGCTTTCTATGGGAGCGTGGGATGGACTAAAATTATTGATCTTGCCAGCGAAGTCTAACCCACAAGATTGAGTAGTAACGCAAAGTAATTTCTGCTAAGTTTCAGTACAAATAGGAAGTTCATCCGATTAAAAGATGTAATATCATCTCACCATAGTTGTGTAACAAAATCATTTTAATTATTGTAGGGATGAGGGACTTTAGTAAGTTCAGGAAAGTAGAAAAGTTGGGATTCTTCTTAGAGCAGAGAAATTTAAGGGGAAGTTTAATACTTTTTCAAATTCTGACAGGTTTTTTAGCAGTAATTAAGGAGGAACAATTTCCATTGGTGGGGAGATTCAATAAACAGAGGACAGAAATTAAATGTAATTGACAAAAGGATCAGAGAAAAGAATGAGGAAGAACATCACTCTGCTGTAGTTTGTACAGTTCTGGACTTCACTGTTTAAAAGGGTGTTGGAATCAAATTAAGTTGTAACTCTCAACAGGGGATTGAATGTATCCTTGAAAAGGAAAGACTTGCAGTGCCTTGGGGGGATGATATGGGCTAGTGGAATTAATTGGATAGCTCTTTCAAAGATGGACTATGTGGTATTGTTCTGTAGTGCAAGATTCCCTACAGAAATGAACAAGTTGTTTGACAAATCCAGAACAAAGAGATAACAAATGTCAGGGAACATTATTGATTGGACAAAATCCACTTTCTCTTGCATTGTTATGCAAAAGCAATTATGTTTGCAAGTAGGTCTATTTGTAAGAAAGATTCAGTTGTCTTTGAATTTCTACTGCCATGCTAAAGAGTGCTTCTTTTTTGTCATTGGGAATTACTTAATTTTTTTTTCCAGAAGAACACCAGCTCACCATGCACGGATAAGCTCTTTAAAGTACAAGTGTGAACACAACTGAAATTAGAGAATTATCTCTTTGAGAAGAATGTTGATACTTATGGAAATTAATATAGCCTGAGATGAATGCAATGATTATTATGATTCCTTTCTTGTTGTGTGTGGAAGAAGGAGTACTGTTCTGAAGGGGAGCATCGAAAATCCACACTGAGTGATAATATATTCATAGCTAGGTATCTGGTTTGATTTCCTTTGGACTTCAGAATATACTAATGCAAAATCTTCTTTCATGACTGTGTGGAGGTAGAGTTAACTGCACGTGGGCTGTGACCAGAATATACTTGGCAGACTGAATAGTCTTTAGATGTTTTACACATTCTTGTGTATGCACCAAAACTCTGCAAAAGTGCAATAATTGATTAAAGAAAGCACTCTTCAGAAAGCAGAATAAAACATGATCAAAGTTAAACACTCAATTCCCTACAACCTCAGAATGAAAAGAATAATTCTGTTCTGAATAGAAGCTCTGCAACAGGCATCAGAGACTTGAGAAGCATGTTGTTGAGTAAGAAAGGTTCATTATTAGCTTAATTTCAAATGGCTGCCAAGAATCACACTTTATATCATAATCTGGTGTTTGTCAAGACATCATGAACTGTGGTTCATAATTGGCATACTGTTAGGAAAGAGACGCTGAGCTCCAGTTTGGAACATGCAGGTACTCTCTTTGATTGGATAATCTCAGAACAGTGACAGTGGCAACAGTCCAGTGGTGGCCACACAGCAGATCTTTGGTATGGGAACTGCAGAAGAAACATTGTCCTTCAATAATCCCACAGGAAATCACTGAATTGTTAAAGAACAAACTCGGCAGAAAATGAGGGCAAATAAAGAGGTGACTGGGCAGCACAGTCAGCTTTTGTGTGAGCTTAGTTGAGTAACGTCACTATGCTTGGCTCTCCTGACTTTACTTGTTAAAGGAGCCCCCTACCATATTGTGTTCTTCTGATGCAGAACATAAAGTCCTCATTTCCTGTGGTAGAATAAAAAATTGTTATTCGTCGCTGTTGAACAAAACAGCAGTGGGCCATGGCCCAAATTCATTGAACTGAGAGCCAAATTGAAAAGACTGGAATCATACATTCAAGTCATTACCACCATTAAAGATCTTCCTTAGCTCCAAACTTGTTTGCTTAGTCTTGGTTTCTCGTACACTGCACAGTCTGTTTTACACAAAAGAAAGCCTAAACAAGCAAAATTGGGCTGGACTGAACCTATTAGATTTAGACAAAATGGAATTCCTATGATGTGCCAATGTTTTGTTTAACCAAGCCCTGTAGAGTTACAGAATGAACAGTGAAACAGCTTGTTACTCATGCTTCTCAAATGCACTGATTGGAACAAAGAAGGTTTATCCACATTTTGTGTGCATTTCAGTACAAAGTGACTAGGATCAATTTTTCATGCAGGCACGTTTAACCACAAGTGAGCATCTCACCTGCAGTGTAAATCTAAATTTTCTGTTGTCAACTCAATGCCATTATTTTTGATATCTCTGTGCCCAGCTCAGACCCTTGTATGGTATTAGAATAATAGGAGTGACCAGAAAACTGCGAAATGAAAATGACATTTATGAGAAATTGAATCCCTAAAAAGTTAAGTGCCATTATTATATTTGAACTTTGAAAATGCTCAAAAGACATCCTGACAAATTAGCAGTTGTTGCCAAAACTAATGAGAGAGAGGAGAAAGAAGTGCCAAAGGGAGAAAAAAACATGACAAGAAACAAAGTTCAGAAATAAAACAACTTCTGCAGGCATTGTGGGGCATCCAGCATCGAAAACCTTGTCAAGATCTGATCAAGTAGAAGTTGCACTCTCTGGAGTGATTGCAAGGAGGGGTCATCTGGTTTTCCACTCCAGGGCAAAGTTTAAAGATCATTGTTGCGACATGCAGTGCAGGTTGTGGAGGTAGATATAAGGCCAGAACAGAATATCACTGACTGCTGTCTTTTTGATGCAGTTTAACTACTCGTGGGCTTGCTGCAGTCCTGAAATCTGTGAGTCCCTATTTTCATCGCTAGTTAGATGTACATATATGGTTGGTAGCATTTTGCCAGTTTCAGACAATCAGAGTTAGTCTGGCTGATGATTATGCTTTCTTTATAAGCAACACCATTTAAAATATGACATGCTATAACTGGAGTCCTTTCAAAGATCCATCCTGCATTAAGGTAGGTAAGCTCCTGGAGACAGTATTTCTGCAATTGGTTCTGTTTTCGCAACCTACCTTGGGAATTAAAGCCTCCACATGCACCAGTCTTCTGAATAAAGAGATATACTTATGTCTGTTCATTAATGTAGGCGAGAACTGACAAATTCTGGTGCCGTATCAACATTTTTGTTTATCAGCACATCTAAGTCAAATCTGTATACATTGCTATGAAGATTTTGATGGCTCTGAGTGACAAATGGTTACCAATAATTAGTCATTGCAATTAAGATAATTCAGTATTAATATATATGAATGTGACAACTGGAGAAGGTAAATAGCAATTGACTCAGAACATTCTGTTTTCACAATAGGTCAAACCTTTTATTTTCAATGTTCTTTATCTTGTCCTCAAATTATAATATCTTGATGGGGTATACTTCCATGGGTACAGTCTGCATCCCAAACCGATTTGATCATTACCAAGATATATGAACCTTGGTTCAATGATAGGAATCTTGCCTCCAAGTCAGAAGTTGTGGATTCATATCCCACTTCAAGAGTTCAGTGCATAAACTATATAGACAGGTTAGTGCACTATTGAAGAAATACATACACTATAAATGGCTTGTCTTTTGGATGAAGCATTAAACCAAACTAGATGAACATGAAATATCCTAAGCTTCAGTCTCTTGTTCCTGAACAAACATGACCAACAACTCATTGCTTTTTTTCTGGCAGGTTTTTTTTTTGCACATAAGCAGTTTGTTGACACTATACGAGTTATTACATTTCAAAACTAATTCATTTATTAAAATGAAATGTGCTGTATGATTGTGAAACATTGCACATAAATTAACAGTTCTTTCCTCCTCCATCTATTTGTGAGGCTCGATAATCATTGCTTGTCAGGTCTTTGACCTTAGGACTGTTGACCTGGACATGCCCATGTTAATTACCGAATGGAAATTGACAATTGGACCTCCAGCTAATATTTCTCCGATCTTTGTCAGAAATTCTAAGGCCAATCTTAGTGACCATAACTCCATCCTATCAGCTAACTTAACCAATATATGGTTCAAATTTATAATCTTTATGCTTTGTATGGTTTAGATGCACATGCATTCTTTGTTAGACATGATAGACTACCTGTATGGTGCCATTGAGATATGTGTTTGTTTATTCAAAAATCATTATTTGCTGGTATGGGAGATCAAATTTTGTCTATTTAGACTGCATTCATTTTTAAGCAGAATGGAGTGGTTATTGAAGCAGAATTGCTATACAGACAGTTTATGGCACACCAAATTTCCAGGACTATCTAATTTATACTGATTGTCTTCTCCCTGAGCCCCAAATTTTCATAGAAAGACCTAACCGTAAACTGAGATCAAGACCTTGTTGTTCTGTTTTCAGTCCATGGTGTCTGGGAGGAATGGTCGCCGTGGAGTTTATGCTCCTCCACATGTGGAAGAGGTCACCGAGATCGTACCCGTTCCTGCATACAACCTCAATTTGGAGGGAATCCCTGTGAAGGGCCCGAGAAGCAAACCAAGTTCTGCAACATTGCACTTTGTCCTGGTATGCAGTTTATTACATTTACATTTAATTTAGAGACAAGATTCAAGGTTAATTTTAGCCCATCGTTTGTGGAAGCTATTGAGAGCATGTTGTATTCACCTGATTTTATTCTCCATTGAAGTGCAATATTGGGCAGTGTGTAAATTTGGTTTTTAGTTCAATCCTATGGGTTTTCAGTTAGTCAGATTAAACTTTCCGCCTTACTGTTTAGATAATGATACAATCCGTGGGCAGAAGCCATAAACCAAACTAACTAAATTTACCAAATAATCCCAAAATGACAGTTTCAATTTTACAACTAATACTTTAGAAGTTATGGGGAAAATTGTACATGAAATGAAAGGGTAAGTTTCCATTAAATAGTCAAGATAACACCAACATCTTGCCAAAAGCCAAAGCACACAAATCACTTTCTGCAGACAATGTGGACTGCAGTGGTTGAAGGAGGTAGCTCACCATCACCTTTCAAGGCCGGAACTAGGGATGGGCAATAAATACTGGCCAGCCAGCAATGCCTTCATCCCACAATCAAATATAAAAATAAAGACATGTTGCACCACGTGCTCTTCTACAGTTGTCCAAACTCTAAGTGAAGAAAAGTTTCCCCATCTCACTTCGACAATCATCTTGTTCAAAAGTTGGGTTTCCCAACAATTTGACAAATGTAAAATGTCTTACAAAGACTAACCATATCCATATGCACCTATGGCCAATAAAAATCCAATGTCTTAGCTTGAGATTTCTGAATACATACATACTCTATAATTGGGATCTCATAGGTAAACTACAGACGGACAGCGATTTGAAAGACTATAAACCAATACTCCTCCCCTGGCCTGTGAGGACACCTTCACTTCCTTATTAAAATGGCATCTTTGATATGATCACATTCAAAGACCTTTGTAGCTACTTGCCCAGAACATTTGTCAGTGGCAAGCTCCTCAGCTGAAGTTCTACCTGTTAGCAGTTAACTGGCACAGATCACTAAACAATTCACCAACATCTCATTTACATCCTTAGAATGATTTCAGCTCTCCAAATCTTTCAATTGTCCTCCGCAACAATTGCATCTATTTCTTCTTGCCTAACTTGATGAGTCTGGAGCTAATCTGACAATAGTCAGATCACACAATCTGAGAATAATAACAGAAGTTGCTGGAAATGCTTAGCAGGTCTGGCAGCATCTGTAAAGAAACAAATCAGAGTTAATGTTTAGGGTCCGGTGACCCTTCCTCAGAGGAAGGATCCTCTTCTGAGGAAGGATCACCGGACATGAAATGTAAACTCTGACTTTTTTTCTTCACAGATGCTGCCAGACCTGCTAAGCATTTCCAGCAACTTCTGTTTTTGTTCCTGTATTGCAGCATCCGCAGTTCTTTCAGTTTGAGAATAGTCCAGTCAAATTATGCTTGTAAAACTTTTGCCTCAACAGCTCGTGCTGGCCTTTCGGAAATTACTGGAGATCACACTAATTTATACCCAGCCAATTTGTTTCCTAATAAGAAGTCAACATCTTCAGCAGGTGCATCGATAGTAATTTCCACAACAACAGAATAAGCAACTAAGCCACATTTTAAATTAACCTTACATAACGGAACTGGTAAATAATTCCCATGAATGAAGTAAATCACTATCTTTATGCAATATCTTCAGTAATATTTTCGAGGAATTCCTACAACCTGGCAATGTCAGTTACATTGCTGATCTGATCTCAAAGAACAATAACCAATTGCTTGCCTTACTGGATAAACATTGGGATACTTGATCCTCAATCAAAATCTGTATAGCTTTCTTTTCACTGATTCACTCTGAGTGAGTTTGTGGGTGAGTCCATGCTTATTTTAAACATCATAACTGGGAAAACGCAACAATTTTGTTTGTGTTCTTTAACTTCTAGCATTCAACCTTCTTGTGAGTCATTGAGTCACCGAGATGTATAGAACAGAAAAAGACCCTTCAGCTCAGCACACCTATGCTGCTCAATACAACCACCCTAATTGAAATAACTGCACTGAGGCTGATATCCTGTCACCCATCACCCTTTATTCATATGTACACAGTACATGGGCTCTGACCAGTCGGCTCAGAGCCAGTCTCCAAAATGAGAAGACGCGCTCCACCTCCTGTCATATCTGTCAGCCAAGGTTCTTTGATTGGCCCAGGTTAACAGCCCCAGTTAAAGATCTCTTACTCAGTGAGATTCACCTGATCTTTATTACAATCACTAGTCTAACCCTATTCTAATCCTAAAGATTGCATGTTGGTCCATTCAACTGAAACAAGAACCTTCACATTTACTAACCTGAGAGGGACCGGGTGTTTACCTTCTCCACTATTTTCAGCAGGGCCAGACCGGTTCTCATCATCAATATTGAATTTGCTCTCTTTGTAGGCTCAAAATTCCACCCCGTTAGTAATAACCTTGTCACTTAATGCATGTTCATATGCCATTACAGAGGATTCCCATATTAGGCAAGTCTTGATTACCAAAGAGACACTATTTTTGAATTCCTGCACCAACATCATATTTCTATGTTTATCAAAATTCTGTTCCACCTTCATGGATCTACACCATCCATCAACTAGCATTTCCTTGACCCTGGCAAATTCTATGTGGAGATGGTTCTCTTTTTCAGATTTCTAAATTTCTGCTTTTAGACCACTAACTAAGTATTGAATTTGGCAATCTTTACTTTCTCATTGTCAAATATGTTGCTGAAATAGAGGACTGCCCACAAAGCTTTCCACGTCTAAACTCTTTGTAGGAGCGCAGACCACTGCTCTTTCAGCTAATTTAGATTGTGGCAGTTTTCTTAAAGGACAGCTCCATTCCCTCTTCTCTCAGTTTAGGTACTAAGGGGAAATTCTTTGAATCAGCCTTTGACCATAAGACAGAGGATCAGAAGTGGACCATTTGGCTCATCAAAAAAGCTTTGCTATTCAGTGAAATCATTGCTGATCTGATAATCCTTAACTCCACTTTCCTTCCTTTCCCATACAGCCCTTGGTTACCTGACAGATTTTTAATCAGAGACAACAAGGTGCAGGGCTGGATGAACACAGCAGGCCAAGCAGCA